AACACGAGTATCAAACTTTTTCTTAGACTTTCCAAAGTTACAAGTCTTGCTTTCCTTTTTTTTGTTGCTATTAGGGAATACAAGCACGAATGTTACGTTTGCAGTTTTACATTAAATTATTACTGGACCGGATATTACTTAGGAATGGTATAAGTTTCACTCCAACAATTTTTAGATACAGTTCACTAGTTCCAAAAATTAATTTGTTACAAATAATCTGAAAAATAGTTAACGACTTTCATAATTATTCACTTTTAAACCTTCTCTGGACTTCCACAAGTAATTCAAGACCAAAATTAGCCAAATCGGTCCATCGGTTCACGAGTTTTAACGAGACTAACGAACAGCAATTCATTTTTATATATGTAGATTTATGTTACATTTTGTTACACATTGTGTTATTTATGTAAGCGATAAGTGAGCACTTTTGATTGTAATATCAATAGCAAATTTAATTACAGAACGACAAGAAGAAGAAGGTATTATATGTATTTCAGGTTTTAGTGTTAAAGGTGACAACAAAATTCCCCTAAAAACAAAAAAGCCTATGTATGAAGTGCCACAGTACCTACTATAGATGAATTCACAGATTTAGTACAAGTTTTATTAACCTTTATGAAACTAGTAACACTAAATCAAAAAAATGTCCACATTTTGCTACTATTTAACTACTGGCTCCCTTGAAACAGTATTCAGTGTCTGTAAATACGACATATACATATTATACGAGTGAGAATACCATTTCCAGAGACAAACTATACAACCCTGCTAAATGGCTGTCCTACTTGATTTATGGTTAAGATAGAATAAATTCTACCCGTTGGAGAACTGTCGTTTTTGCCTTCGAAAATAATAGTTTTGTTAGTACCTCAGTTTTCAACACGTTCATAAGATTATCCAGTTTCTTCATGAGTAATTTTTACACTTTAACATAAAAATAATTTACATTTTAGTCATTTATTCAGCAGTGGCATAATCGGCACATTAAGGGATTTTTATTTATTATGTAAATCAATAAAGTACTAAATTGTTATCATCTAAAGCAGGCGTAGTGATGCCTTACAAGAACTTAAAGCTTTCCCGATTCTCTATTAATTAAATTCTTCTCGTGAATGAAGTGATCTTCAAATATGACTCAAGCTGCAATTTCATCTCGAATGCCATTGATGGAGTTATTTTATTCTGACGAACCAACTGTGCCACGGCTCAATATTGATCGAACAAATTTCATTTTTACGTCTAATAGAACTTATTCGAGTAAATGCCTTTAATTTTCCATTATTAGTAAGTATAAGTGTTCAGCAAATGATTCCTCTCCACTTATTGAAACCTATAAACTTCAGTTTTAAACCACTGAACCGATTACGTATCATAATCCGTAAATTATATTATCGTACGGCTATGTCAACAGATAACTACACAAATTGGGCAGAAATGCATGCCATAGTATTCAAAGACTAAGACTAATTTTTGCTTTACCTGTATAAGGTATATGTTATATTGTATCATGCTGTTACATGAACATGGCCACGAGAGCAGTCACTTCCTTCGTGTTGTCTTTTCCTATCCTAGCCTTATGAAGCACATCATCATCATAAGATCGTCAGTCCTAAGACTGATTGCATTCGCACTTCTATTCTTTCTTATCCTGATCTAACTTTCGCATTTCCCTAAAACTAGAACATCCCACATCCTTAACTATTTTTGAACAGTAATCCAATCTAGGGCTACCTCTACTCCTCTTAACTCTTGTTTCTACCTCTAATACGTCTCTGACTAGACCTTCATGCCTAAGAAGATGTCCTACTAACCTATCTCGCCTATTTCTTATTGACTTCCATACAGTCCTCTGTTCTCCTATACTTTCTAATGCCTCTTCATCTCTAACCATAACCTAACCTTCTCTATCCACGATATCCTCATCAATTGCCGGTAACACCACATTTCGAATGCTTCTAACCTTTTCCGCCGCGGCCACCGTCCATGTTTCACACCCGTACAGCGTCGCGCTTCAACCATACACCTTTAACAATCCTTTCCGAATTTCTATATTAATCATTCGCTAGCATAGAAGTGACTTCTTTTATCTGACTTCCTAGATACCTAAAAGAAATGGTTCTTCTAATCTTTCGTCTCCTATCTTTACATTCGCTCTTTCCTTACTTTTTCTTCCCTTGCATACCAGTATTTTTATTTTACTTTTATTTATTTTCATGCAATACTGTTTTGTCAATACTGCTACCATTTTATTTAGAGTTATCTCTAACTGCTCCTTTGCTATATGCTAATACTGCTATATAATCTGCAAATCTAAGCAGACTAATCTTTTGCCCTTCTATATCTATCCCTACAGTTGAACTGTCTTTAATGATGTTTTTCGCGTCTTCGATGTACAGATTAAAAAGTAGGGGTGCATCCCTGTCTGACTCCCTTTTCTACCTTGCTGCTCCTGCTCTACAACTGCGTGTTACTCTTTATACAAACTAAGTATCACTCTTCTGTCTCTGTAACTCATCCCTACATTTTTAAATGTATTTAACAGCTTGTCCCATTTAAAATTGTCGAAAGATTTTTCTTGAGGACATCTGTTAAACAGGAAAATTGGGAGCAAATAAAGGGATTGGTGATTTTTAGTTAGAAATATATGGGAACTTATTAAAGGATGTATTTGAATTAGAAATAAGAAAACTTATTAATCAGCTAGTAAACTTTCTAAAAGNTATTTTCATGCAATACTGTTTTGTCAATACTGCTACCATTTTATTTAGAGTTATCTCTAACTGCTCCTTTGCTATATGCTAATACTGCTATATAATCTGCAAATCTAAGCAGACTAATCTTTTGCCCTTCTATATCTATCCCTACAGTTGTACTGTCCTATTTGTCCCATTTAAAATTGTCAAAAGCTTTTTCTTGAGGACATCTGTTAAAAAGGAAAAAATTGGGAGCAAATAAAGGGATTGGTGATTTTTAGTTAGAAATATATGGGAACTTATTAAAGGATGTATTTGAATTAGAAATAAGAAAACTTATTAATCAGCTAGTAAACTTTCTAAAAGGAATACGTATCTACTTTTTACATTCCGTAGGCTAACAAATGACCGATGAAGAAAGTTTCCTTAACACGAGTATCAAACTTTTTCTTAGACTTTCCAAAGTTACAAGTCTTGCTTTCCTTTTTTTTGTTGCTATTAGGGAATACAAGCACGAATGTTACGTTTGCAGTTTTACATTAAATTATTACTGGACCGGATATTACTTAGGAATGGTATAAGTTTCACTCCAACAATTTTTAGATACAGTTCACTAGTTCCAGAAATTATCCAGATTCTTGAGTTCACTAAAGCCCTCTTTTACTGTTTTGAATTTCAGGAAAAATCAGTCCCGCAAACCTTTACTAGGGTTCCGCACCTCAAAAGGAAAAAAAGGAACCCTTATAAGATCATTTCGATATCGGTCTGTCTGTCTGTCAAGGCCCTTCTTCTCAGGGACGCATGGAGATTGAAATTAATGTAAAATACTCAGCACAAGTAGCAATTTTTTAATTGTAATTATATGTTTTGCGGACTGAGGGCAAACTTACGACATACATCGGAAAAAGCGGGAAAAATCTTCTTGAGTCGATTCCCGTGACCGTCGAACCATTTACATACCTACAAGTTTGTACAGAACTCTTGGTGCACTAGGTCCGAGTTTTATGTGTATGCGGTATTACACACAATTCTGGATTTATATTTTTTTAAGAATATCTAACTGTTTCTACGTAAATATTTCCTTGAAACACAACTACTGACGGACCATTTTGAAATCCTTCCGATGTAAAATAAAAAAAAATCACCCTATCTCTTTCGAATCCATTAATACGAAGCACAATGGTTTTGTACTGATAAATTACTATATATATGTGGGTCTAACGTTGATGTTTCTTGTTAAGGGTGGAGATGGGATGTGTTCTTGCAACGTGAGCACCTTCGTGGATTACCTCCTACAACAAAAACTGCTACCGGGCCCGCCAGGATCGCCGGGGGCCGATGGAAAAGAGGGTCCCGCAGGAACACCAGGCCTACCCGGTTCACCGGGTGAACGCGGATTGCCAGGATATACGGGAGACAAAGGAGAGCGCGGGGACAGAGGTCCACCGGGACCTCAAGGTAAACTTACTTTAGAAATATGCGGCACATTCGTATCAACTAACCGCAATAATTAATCTTTCAACAGATTGTACAATAGAGGTAGTTCGGAATCTCATGAGCCTTCCTTGAATTGCACAGTGACAATATTCTACCCGTTCACTGATTTCTGCCTCTACCTAATTATTGTTTTCAATTTAACTGACACTTCATCTTTGTTCGTAATCTACAATTGGAACGCAATAACGTTCACTTCTTACGGATGAGAAGGTCCATGATAATTTGAAATACCTCTACCTTCTGTTAAATATATCCGAAATATATTAATATATATGTAACCAGTGGCGTTTCACGTACCTTTAAGATTGATATTATCGATAAAATTTAATATAATTAATTACTCCTTTTTTCATTAATTCTTTCATTATACTTACTCGTATAAATATTGAAAAGGGCACAAGGATATTTTTGCACTCTTACACCCGATCTTCACTTATGTTTCTTTCTATTTTAACCTAAAGTTTTGTTACCGATGTTTTTTCAATAGGCCCCACTGGATCTAGAGGAGATCCAGGTCCTAAGGGTGAAAGAGGGGAACGGGGAGAACCTGGCCCCCCAGGGCCTCCAGCACCCATACAGTATGACAATTTGGACGTTAGCAATGTAAGTACCACTATAAAGAAGTTAATTATAATAATAACATTGCTTGTATCCGTCTTCTTATCTCGTTAATAGCCTAGCTGGAAAACTCGAGGGGTATTCAAGGTAATTTTTTAATTGTATGAACCAAAAGATACAAACTAGCAGAAACAATTCATGTTTATTAATTTTAAGATTTCTTTTCCAATCTTAAACAAATTCATAAAATTTTCTCAAAATAATAAAATAAAAAAAATTGACATTTTATTACTTTGTAGACTTTTTTGCATAATTAACTATAGTTATTAGTATCCCCTCACTTAATAAGAATACACATGTAATCCTTAAAGCGTTTACGAAACACGGACGATAGAATGTTATTTGAAGTCAAAATAAATCTCTTAGGATGTTCTTCCGGGCAGTATAACAAGAACAGGAATTCCCGGCGAAAAAGGGGATCGCGGTGAAAGGGGCCCCGTTGGTCCTCCAGGAGAGCGAGGATTCAAAGGCCAAAAAGGCGAAAGAGGCGAACTGGGGTCCAAAGGGGAGAAAGGAGATAAGGGACATCCTGGAGATAAAGGAGCCCGTGGAGCAAAAGGCGATCCAGGTGAACCAGGTACGTATTATCCTTAATTATACAAATTAATGGATGCACGACTAACCCAACTAGCCTTTGTAATACTTCCTTACCTTCCTTCTATTTTAATTACAGACCATCAGTTCATTATTAAGAGCAAGGCACCTACTTAATTAAAACAAATTGCAAACGTTTACATGAAACGATTTTCATAATTGTGTAAATCTACATATTTAATAGAAATCTAAAATTCCTGTGGGACTTAACCGAGAAGAGTAGAAATAGGGTTACTTAATGTATTACGCGAGTTTTAAGAGCGTCACCAAGTTGTGCTCGACAAGTCGCTGCGCAGGAAGGTGGTGCGCATTCCATATGACGCGTAAGCAAGAAGATTTTGTTTGTGTTTGACAATTGACAATGGGGGGAAGATTGTAGGAATAGAGGGCGCCACATATATGATCTATTTACACTTAAATTTCGTTTCAGGTTAAGCTGGTTAAGGAAATTTTTGAATGGTTTCTGTTAAAGTCACAATAATAACACTGTAAATAGAAAATATTACAAATGGGGCAGTGAACGCCATCTGTAGCACGATGCTACATTTTAGGATTACGTATGCTCCAACAAGGTCCACTTGTGTGGATATCTACTTGCTGAAAACGAATCCCGGCGTAGCCAACCTCAACGTGATAAGCACGTTAGTTTAATCGAATAAAATAATTATAAAATACAGACCACTTCGAATTATTTTATTCGATTAAGCTAACGTGCACAAGTGGACCTTGTTGGAGTGCTACAGATGGCGTTCACTGCGCCATTTGTAGTATTTTCTAAAACGTACTGTTAAGACAGCAGGTAAAAGTTGGTCTGTGTTCTGTCGGAGCTGTCTGCGACGCGCTGATGAGATCCACAAAGATCGAAATCGCGATCCGCTCTGGCAGTTTCGACAGAATACAGACCACTTCGAATTATTTCAACACTGTAAATGTTTATGTACTTCTTCTATTGTTTGCTCAGAAAATTCATCTTATACTTTAACAGATATTTTTCTAAGATTTTAATTTCCTTAGCAACTTGCATTCTCCAGAATCAGAAATAGTATCCATTTTCTTTACATTCCGACACTGTTCACTTTGTCATTTTCGTTAAATTTTATAAAACTCGGAAATTTATTTAGTCTGTCTCTTTTAAACTTACGAGATTTACATTAAGCTATCCTGTTGTCAAGATAAATCTTAGGGGAGAAATGGTAAAAATCTTCTCCATTGGTTTGTAGTCGCTCATCGCGCAGCAACTCATGCGTTGTTTTTCCTTTTTTACTCATAACGCTTTTCATACCTATTCGTTTCGGATTAAACTTTTCGTCTTAATGGCGGCTACAGTAGGCGCTGCGCTGGGTGAAATTATGATGATTTTCATTCACTTTTTAAAATTACATCATCTTTAATCAACAATTTTAAATTTACGAAATTTCCTACTCTTTAAGCACTACAAATTGGTAACAGATTATAAATGCTTGTTCGTATTATATGAGTGCGATGCACAATTAATTTTTTACTTATTTCAATTCCAATTACATCAGACAAATAATTAAATGTTTATTAATGTGGTAATAATATTAAAATTGAACAGCAAACATTTCCCTAACTAACCATTAGTCGTGTAAACATAATAACGATAAACAAACATCGAGTTTTATGTTATGATCCATTTGATTTTATTCTGTTTTAATACTACGTATTCAAAATAAATTATGTACACAAAACAATGGACCCCCACGAATACCTTTAAGAAATGAATTAAATAGCTAATTCTAAAAATAAAGTATTCAAATACCCATTTAAGCGTGTTGTACTTAATTGTAAATTCGTCGACTTAAGTGGCTATTAAAGTTCTTGCACACTAAGTAACTTTCAAGTAGGTCAAATAATTTTAGAACTTAGTGTAAGATTATCGACAAATTTCATCAAGTCGTATTAATAATACTAGGCACTAACTATAACTATTAGTTACGTTACCTAACTGAAAGTTTGACGGCAATAAATGAAAACAAATCAGTTGAGTTGACCCATTTTTAGCCACCAAAGTCTTTATTGGGATTTAAGGAGAATAACAAATGATTGGGAGATAAACGAGATTACAACTACGATTATACTTCGTTTACTTTCTGTAGCGATGTGACCTTCAGTATGACCGGCGCAAAGTAGAAAAGAACACCAAAAAAGTTTTATTAACATCTATGAATAAACTATAAATCTGTTGTGACTTACAATTAGTTTACAAAACTGCCTCTTATCTTGAACTATGAACTTCAGCCAGGAAAAAACATTGAACGTATACTTCATTTACTTTCTGTAGCGATGTGACCTTCAGTTTGACCGGCGCAAAGTAAAAAAGAACAGCACTAGGCCAGAAAAGGAAGGAGACAACTCTCGGCCAAACTCTTAACCGGTGAGGAGCGTATAATCCGTACAGTACTACACGGAAAAATTGACCATTTTATCCACTACAATTGCATTGCTCAAATGTGCTGTTATTGGTACCATTTACTACTGAAAATATC